ACATTTTATTGACCAAACAATTACTCGAATCAAAGAATGGAACATTTATTGTGTATGCTAGTGAGTTAATATGCGGTTTAGTGTGATTGTATGTGAGCATACATGTGATGTGTATGCATCAGCATATGTAAAAATGTAAACAGTGCACATCACGTCTTGACGTTGAACAAATTAGTATTACTAATGAGTCAGTGTAAACACTGCTGAGGACACAGGGCCTTTTATTGTGGCGGCACAGAAGGAACAATATTTTCCTGAGAGCAACCAAACAAAGTCTTCAACACCACACTTTCCAGCCGGTGGCAACTGAAGTAACCAATGTCAATGCCTCATCATATTTGCTTTTACTTTGTGGCCACTTTTATACACACACATGGATGTGAACAGCCGTACTGTTCCACCAGTGCTTATTTGCACAGTGTTGAGTAATACAGGCTGCCGTTCAAAGCCACCGAAAACACTACTCAAATATTACGCAGTGAGCTGAAGCCGGAAAGGTGTAATGGTCCAAGTGCCACTCGGGCTTAAAGAGGGAGAACCTCATTCGAAAGCAGGTGATTCTCTAAATATAACCCCACACGCTCAATTCCCTCTCCACCGTCACACACACCCTCAAACTCGGTATAGAGCTGTGTGGCTCCGGCCGCCAGCATGTTGTGTAACTGTTGTGCTCACTTTCTCCCTCCTCGGTGTTTCCCTCAATGTCTTATGTAGGTACAGAACAAGGCGTTCACACAGTTCAATGGTCAATGGGGCTCTGTGTTGTCTGGAAGCGATACCTTAGCAACGCTTCGGCCTGTTTGTGTATATTTTAAGAGTTTGCTTAGTGTTCTCAGGTGCATGTATTTTTACTGCAAATCTGTAAAATCCATTAATACTCAAACGTCTAGACTACAGTTTGAAAAATATACCACCGATGTATAAATTTAATTTATTTTTAGAGTGCCTCTTCCTGGAAATGCTGGAAATTCACTCTGGCTGTAAAAGGGAAGTCTCCCACCATTGCTTTGCTGAATTTACAAGAAGAGAGTTCGGTTAAGGAAGCTGACCACCCGTGTGGGTTCATGGTTAACAGTCAGGAATGGTTATGGTCATGGTGGTGGCTCAGGTTTGTCAGAATTGGATGAATCAGCTAAAATATGTGGTCAGGTTTTAAGTGCACTTCTCTGCGAGACCTGTGGTCGTAACCAAACTATCTAACAATCATGGACCTCGGTTGTTGTTGAACCATTTGGAGTTTTTGTAAAAGCTGGTACATGATGTTCAGGTGATGATTCCCCCCCACTCCAGGAGCGGCTCAAATTTTCACCACAAAAGCAACCGCCTCCTCTTTCCTCAGTGACACAGAACCCTCACTCTTGGTGTACCTATAATCTCTCTGTGGCACGTGGTTTAGGAAATGCCTGGCAGTCTGGATCCACACATGTACCACTTAAAGGAAGTGGAGGCAGAGCACCTTCAACCTCACCTCCCCAGCGCTGTTGATTTCATTAGCAGGTATAGCCGAGCAGTTAGGGAAGTGTGTGCTTGGCTTGCACTCAGCCGCGGTGTCTGCATCTCCTTTGCCTGTCTGAGCAGGCCAATTGAGATGCTGCTGAGTTTGGGGTCTGGAGGCTGTTGAGTCTTCTCTGCGGCTCGAAAGCCTTCGCAGATTAGTGTTTCAGCTCCGTTGAAATGGCATCCAACACATGTTCGAAAAAGACTGCGAGCTTCGGGTATGATTTGTGTCTGCGACTCAGATTACCTGGTGGTTTGGAGACTGTGAGGTGTATTGGATATGGGAAAGTGCGATGTCTGTCTGTGCTCATTATGTACACTCGCCGACATGTGTCTTTGTATTGGATGTGGGCTTGGATGGATTTCCGAACCGACTCGGTCGGCCTTTTTGCCTCTGATCTTTATCGGAGTCTTTCATTATTGAGTAACTGCAAACCAAAAATAGTCCAATGTTTGCTTTTGTTTCTTCTTTCCTTCATACTGCAGCTGGACAGCATACTGAGGCGACAGTAACATAACATTACTAGAGCAATTTTACTTTTTTTAGAAGAACAGCTCAACTTTAAGAAGAAAGAACCTTGGGCATCTCAGGCTGTGTTTGATGGTTTCCGATAATCATCATGTGGGCGGCCTCTCTCCATATCCTGTGTGAACAAATGACTGATGTTCAGGTGCAGGTTGTGAACCAACAGCAGCAAGAGTATGGATCAACTGCAAGAAAGTGATGCAAAAAAGATGCAAAGAGACAAAAAACAACTTCAAAGTGACACAAACCAACTATAAAAAGACACAAAATGACTACAAAGAAATGCAAAATGACAACAGTGGTACACAATGCAACAACAAAGAGACACAAAATGATTACAGTGAGAAACAAAACAACCAAAAAGACATCCATCCATCTGTCCATGGATGTGGATGTCAGACATGGTGCAGTTATTTAACAGCTGGCTGGAGGTTGGAACAGCAAAGTGATGACTGTAAGAATGGAATGATGGAGCTGGCGGTGGGTTGCCCTTTTACACCCGATGGTCAGACTCTCCCTTACTTCCTCATTAATGCTTCTTTTCTCTTCTGCTCTTTCTTTCTTTGTGTATTTTTGGATCTGTTACCGTGATGCGTGTGGTGATTTCTTTTTTTCAGCTAAATCTGTTTTATATAAAGTGTCAATCGGCCTGCCAGACGGGACTTTTTCACCGTAACTCTGGATGCTGCTCATGTTTAATGACCGAGGGCGGCTTTGATTACCGTTAGCTCTGCTCTCCCCTCAAACCCGGGGTTTTGTCTCGGTTTGTTTTGAATGGGCCGATTTTTATGGGAAAGTGGGGGAAAGTTAATGAGTTTGAGCATTTTCAAGACACCCGCGTAACCACTTACCAAAGCTATATTGTGTTCTCGTGCATACTGAGAGAGTGTGTGTGTGTGTTGTGTTAGGTGGGTGTTCTTGTGTGCGATGGAGTCTCAAGCCAGCAGTGGCTCATGGTGGCCAGCCAGACAGGATTGCGTGAGATTCTTTAATAATGTCGGTAGAGCTCTTTGAACAAAAACATTTGATAAACAGATTGTGCAGGTCTGTGAACTGCCTTGTCTGTGCCCGATCCCTGTTCATGCACGGCTCCTGGGTTTGAATGCTTTGGTTCTTGAGAGAGTTTGATGCCTGCAGAATGGTGGGCATCCAGAGCCGCCTGTTAAATTACGTCTGCAACAAAACCTCAGACCCCCATACCAGACGAGGTTCCCTGCCAGCCAGCCGGCAAGTCGGCCAACGACCATACACTGCCCTCCCATACTGTTCTCTCCTTTTCCCGTTTATTTCTTCCTTGTCTTTGCTTTCCTCATTTTGCAGAGATTAAGCTTTTGTGATCCCTGATTCTTCCAGGCACAGACTCCAGCAACCCACAGTAGCCTACCATAAAAAAGCATAAACAGATACCGCAGACACACACACGCACTTATGTCTAATGACAAAAAACCCAGAGAAACACTTTGGTAAGTGACTGTTAAACCGGAATTTGACTACCTAGCAGTGTGGTTGCTAAACAATTACAGACATCGGTAAAAGCGAAGCTGTAAAACAGACCTCATCTCTGCACACACATGGTGTCGATGAACACATCGTTTTCTAAGTACGTGTGAGTTGAGGTCTGCTGTGGACTCCCAGATTACTCGAAATCCATGCTTCCAATTAACTGCTGTGTATAATTTGGTGTAATTTTAAAATTACAAAATGACAGACAACTTTCAAACGAGAAAAACATCAACTCGTGTTTGGGTTGCTGCTGTTCTACATTGTAAACTTTCAGAGTGAACTCTCCTCTCACTGTCGCTCTCCAAACTAAGTCCATATCAGCAGAGACTAGCAAACGTCCGCACACACCCACACACACAGGACGAAATGAGTATTATATGAAGCAGGGGAAATTAGCTGGAGACCTGCTGCAGTATCCTCCTCCATCTCTTTGGCACTTAATGCTGCTTTATATTAATGACCCAAAATAAGTAAGAGGTGGAATTCAGAAATTACATTTGCCAGAGTGATGAAGTGTATCTCTCTTGTGTCTCATTTTGTTAGCCAAATGTCACCTATCGCTGATATTGGTGTGACTTTGCTGTAAAGTCCTGTAAGTCCAAAACACTGTATGTCAGTTAAATCACAAAATCCCAAGCAGGTTAGAGAGAAACTTGCAGTTTGCAGTTTTTCACAACCACGCACCGCTTTCTCTCATCTTCACACCATTTCCGTGCCTGATATAAGCATGACATGTTGGGCATTCAAACAGGAGCAGGCTGAACCTGACATTCCATTTTGCATCCCACATCATGACAAAATAAGACAGCTGACAAAAACAGCTCAGGGGAGAGTTCAAGTGGAAATTTAAGCCATTTTCACACATAATTCCACCAGTTAAAGGACACCTGCAGTGGCTCACTTATGATACGCAAACACACTAACCATCCTCTGGTGGTTTCCTGTTCGCACCTGACCACGGTTGTGAAAATATTTGGCAGAGGGAGATGTGGTCATTTCTTCCTCGAGTAAATTAAAGTCAACAGATCTGCTTGCCACAGGTTCTGAGAGCCATCTAGGCCAAATATTAACCCAACCAAATACTTACCGCATACAGTGTAGCAGCAGAGAGCCGGGACATTCATCAGCAATTATGCTCACGTTGTGTTGTATTTGTACGTGTGTGCATCTCATGTTTGGACAGATAAAATGTATGGGTAACAGTCTTGTGTAACCTATCCTTTACCAGTACTGGAGGTAGTGTCAGTCTGTAATATATAGCTGCACATAGAGCAATGTATGCTGTAGTAAAAACTCATTATCACTGTGGGTGTAAATTCCACATCAGCTTTATCCCATCATACTCCCCTTGACTCCCGGATTAATGATTGCAAACTCCAATCTAAGATTAAAAAAGGAGAAGATAAAGCCCAGTCATTTTGAGCATAATAACGAATATGGCCCTCTTTTCTGTTCTGTTTATTCCTCCAGTAGTTTTTGTGCGACATCTGAAGCCTGAGATGCTGATGACCATGCTGCTGGCTCCAGTCTGTGTGCTGCTGACGCTGGGAACGCGTGCTCTTGCTGGAGGCTATCCCCCCATCGCCCACATGAAGTACATGCAGCCCATGATGAAAGGGCCTATTGGACCCCCGTTCAGAGAAGGCAAGGGACATTACGTTGGTAAGTAATCCATGGGGTTATACGTATGTGTCTCTTTTACTTCGATGTCTCACTCTGCTCTGCACAAACTGTTTGCTGTGAACTCTGCGGGCCGCTAGGGCCCCTCACACTTCAGATTTAAACCTATATTATTGAGATACTCTCCTCAGTAAAGCCATATTAAATATGAGAAACTGCAAATTAGCAACTGATATTAATGCAGTACACAATACCCAAACTAAGTTTTGATGTTTGTGTTCAGTTATTTCAAATTGAATAGTTCCCGACTCAAAGTTATTTTCTGCAAACAGTATACATGTAACTTTTCTCCAACTATCTGAACCAACGGCAGCACTGATGTGGATCACATGCAAGTCCTAAACTACAGTACAGTAAAGAACAGAGATATAACGACTTCCTAGGAACAAAGGAAGTCTCTAACATTGCGGTTGAATATGTGACTGATGTTGAGACCCTCCCAGGACAGACTTGTGCACGAAAGCCACTGGTTTAGTGGCTCTCTTCAGGCAGTTAAAGGACTCGCTGGTGTGTGTGTCTCGTTGCCCTGCGGGTCCTACAGCACTTGGCAGCTTCTCAGTTGGGGCCTAATGGAGGCCTGATTGCCCACTGTTTGCTGAGCTCCACTTGGCCAGTTTTCTTCCTGCCATCTGGATGCCGTTACCCCCAGTGTTTATCACATATTTTTCAGCTGTATGATGAAGGAGAGAGTGTGAAGGATATAAAAATAGATTGTATAAAAGGCTCAGGCAAAAGGGGAACTGGGACAGGGAGGGGGGTAATAATCATACTGCAAAAAATGTTCATGCTGTCATTGCTATCATTATCAAATTTGACTCAAACTACCAACTACCATGGCGGGATCAGATGAGACCCGCCATGTGTTAGCGGAGGCCCCTTCTTCGAAGCAAAGTTCAAAGCAAACGAGGGGCACATTTTCATTTCAGTGCCATAATATGATGTTGGACAAAGACAGACTCCAGAAGTTGGATTCAGAGCAATTTCAGTGTTCATGTGTTGCAGTTAAATCTCTCACAGAAACATCAAAGATAGTTATGCTTTCTATAAATGGGATTTCAAAAGTGTGGTAGAAACAAGTTTAAGATTTGGACAAGTGAAACTAATGCGCCATGTGGCTCGCGTGACTACAATGCCTTTACTGCCACCCAGTGGTCACATGTCCACATTGCATCACCACTGAAAGTTTGTGAATTATTATTAATTAACTATATACTATGATTATCAGTTCAGTTGATCTTTATTAACAGACTCAAAGTCCATTAGAAAAACACAAACAACAACACATACATAGGATCTTTAGATCTGCTGTATCCGATGTAGTATTAGAATTTGCAAATAGTCAACATCCCAGAAATGTATAAAATAATGTTTGTGATGTTATACAGAATATGTGAAGGTATAACGCATTTGTATAGTGCTAATTATATCAAACCACAGATACAAAATCTCATAACTTAGCTTATAATGAGTGTAACTCAAATAATTGATTCAGTAGATCAGTGGGGAGAATGCGTAAAAAGAAAGGTTAAAGACTATAATTAATAAACTTGTCAAATGTCTAAAAGCAATTAGAAATGTAAGATGAAGGCTACCACTCAAGTGTATAGGCTTTCTTGTGCAATCATTGATGAGCTGTGGGTTCTGTATCAATCTTAGCGGGACGGGAGTCGGTACTGCCCTCAGGCTTGCGTGCGTGCTCCTGTAGGTTTGCTCTTACAAGAGCAGAGTTCAATAAATTCAGTGACTCTATCAGTTTAAATGTATTTGAAAGCACAACTTAAGTCTTTGTCCTCTGGAGAGAATCGCAACAAGTAATGAAGAAGCCATTATGTCCTCTCAAGTGTGAAGCACCTTATTTCCTCTCTCTGGGTGATATATCACGGCGCTCAGTAGCTAATAAACAAACAGAGCTGAGGCCAGAATGCTCATTACACACCTGAACACAATGTTTTGGCTGGCACCCTGGCTGATATAGACAAACCTCTTGTCTAAATATATTATACGAACCATTTATTCGGAGGAGGATACCAAAATAATTACACCTGCAATCTCGTGAAAACTGTACAGTCTGGTAAATAGTTCAAAGTTAAACCTGGAAGTCAGACAGTAAGCAAACTCATCACATTTAAAATGTAACACTTTAATAATGATTAATTACTTATTAAAGTTTAAATGTTATCATACACAAATGCAATAATGACCACAACCACAAAAATAAAACCTTCATTGTTAATGTTGGTATTTTGCAACCACTTTGGGGCACATATGATCACTTTGTATAAAATGTACGTGTCTCGTTAAATTTTCCTACTTTTTTTTCAGCCTTCAAAACTACATGATGCAGGCTTATCACATGCTAAATATAATAATGTACACACACTTATACGGTACTATGACCCATGTGCTGTTCAGTGTATTAAGCTTTTATTCTCATCATAGTGGATGGATGCATTCTCATGAAGTGCCAGCAGGGGGAAGTAGTGCTCTGTGGTTACGTTAGGGGAAATAATGGGATTTCCAACTTGAATGTATTTTAAAATATGGATACTTGTCATTTGTGCTGTCTTATGAAAATAATACAAGGTGAGCTTCCCTCTGGCAGACCTACAGGCGAGGTGTTGCTGAGTTGAGGAACAGCAAGCAATACTGAAATGTTGTGATTGGAGTGTTCTGCAGACCAGGCCTGTGTTTCTGCTCAGTGTGGCCTTGCTGTGTTGTGCTTCACTCTGCCAGGAAAGAATATTGAGACAGTTTCTGACATGTAGCATACTTCTTCAGTCTAGTTTCCCCTTTGTCACACAATCAAAACATTTGCATTTCACAGACACTCTCAAAGTCGCTCAGGTGTAAAACAGAAAAGTGAACTCCTGTCCAGTTGTATGATTACATGGATAGTTATAGGGATTGAACCTGTCCAGAATATAACCTGCCTTCTGCTCAATCTGACCTGTGATATGACCTGAATAGTCAGGAAGCTTACCATGCCTTTAATAGATGGAAAAGATCATCAAATCACAAAATTGTACAAAAGTGAATTGAGAGGACCCTTTCCAACATGATTGGGGTTTTAATCTGTATTTCCCAGGTAATGATGTTGTGATGTCACATGTTTCATCTATGTAGCTTAATTCATGATTCCTTCTGTCGGCTCTTAATTGTTGTGTTCACTTGGCAATGGACAATGTACTCTGCCCACTCAGTACTATTTTTATATCTTCTCTCTTTAGTGCCTTTGCAGCTGCATTTATTGTCTCAATGTTGACAATGAAATTTCAAAACTTCAGTGGCTTATTAAAAACTACTGATACCGACATAAAAAATATATTTTTAGAATTGGTATACTGGCGCATGCTGTGCTGCAACAGTCTGGATCACTATAGCTTACCTTTGGATAGACTTTAAAGGATTGAGATTTTTCTACAACACGTGAAGGATTGATTTATTGACTTTTTTATTTTGTATTCTTTTAAAACCCTGACACCCTTACCACTAAGTGGCAGTATTGTGTAAAGTCCAGTGTTTCAAGTATCTTTAGTTCTCACAAGACGATGAAGCAGTGTTGCCTTCTGAGTAAAAAAAAAAAGGGTTTAAATGGACCTCTAATGGTGAAGCAGCTGGTTGATGCAGTTGGCTGCAGTGTAGATAGGAATTGCATCCCTCAGGTTTTTTTGTATTGCTTTGACCTACATTAATTTAAGAGATTTGTTTTGATTTCGATCAAAACACACATAAACACATTTATATGTTACATGGTATGTTTCTGATCAGCTTTCTACTTCTTATTTGTTTTAAAATACATTGGCATGCCAACGATGTGATCTTTTCTTTTTCCAGATATGCCACCCATGATGGAAGTCAAGGGGGAACCAGGCCTCCAAGGCAAACCTGGACCTAGAGGCCCCTCAGGGCCAGAAGGAATTCCAGGCAAACCTGGACTGGGCAAGCCGGGTCTCAATGGCCAGCCAGGTTCTCAGGGGCCTCCTGGTTTTCCAGGAATGGGTAAGCCTGGACTTCCAGGTCTCCCAGGAAAGATTGGACTAAAGGGGATGCCTGGACTTAATGGCGAGGTTGGCCCTCGTGGTGAACCAGGTCCCAGAGGTTCTTCAGGGCAGCCCGGCCTCCCTGGCCCATCTGGCTTGTCTCTAAATGGGAAACCTGGACTTCCAGGAATGAGAGGTCCCTTTGGGGCTCGGGGTGAACCGGGAACAAAGGGTCTTTCTGGCCCACCAGGTGAACGTGGGTTTAAGGGCGAGAATGGAAATGGAAAGCCAGGGCCTTCAGGTATAAGGGGTCCTCCTGGGCTAAAAGGCAGTTCAGGACCACCTGGTCTTCCAGGTATAGGCAAACCAGGCCTAAAAGGTTTGTCTGGACTGCCTGGTCTTAAAGGTGATCAAGGACTCCCAGGGGAACAAGGAGAACCCGGAGAGTCTGGGGCTCCAGGTCTACAAGGTCTGCCAGGACCAGTTGGGCTAGGGAAGCCTGGGCAAGACGGACTGCCTGGAGGACCAGGTCCACTAGGTCCAAAAGGTGAGCCAGGGACCAGGGGTTCTCCTGGATTTCCTGGCACTCCTGGTTATGGAAAACCTGGTTTGAGTGGGCCTAAAGGAGAAAAGGGCTATGGTGGGTTGCCTGGTCTCCCAGGGGACAAAGGAGAGCAAGGAATGTCGGGCCCGATTGGAGAACTCGGCCTTGATGGGCAATCAGGACCACCAGGTCTTCAAGGCCCAATGGGACTGCCTGGAAAACATGGAATGCCAGGACTGAAGGGAGAGCTGGGGCCCCAGGGCCCTCCGGGACTTCCTGGCCTCAGAGGTGACCAAGGCCCCACTGGATCCTTTGGAAAACCTGGCATCCCTGGAGAGAAAGGCATCCCTGGGCCTAACGGTTCTATTGGAAAACCTGGACCCAAAGGTGATGGAGGGCATATTGGCCTACCTGGCAATCCAGGGTTGACAGGTGCTCCAGGGCCGAAAGGTGAGGGAGGGTTTATAGGAACTCCAGGACCCAGGGGACAGTCAGGAATTCCTGGTCTACAGGGGCCCATGGGTCCCATGGGGCCACAGGGTGGCCCTGGCCCAAAGGGTGAATCCGGACATCCAGGGTCTCCAGGACTGGGTAAGTTCGGAGAGAAGGGAAATATAGGTCCCCAGGGTCCTCCAGGGAAACCAGGCCCTTCTGGGCTCAATGGTAACCATGGCGCTCCTGGTCCTCCAGGGCCCCCCGGTCCTCCAGCAAATGGCCAAACAGTTGTTGCAGGGCCAACAGATTCACAGTTGGAAGGGGATGAAGTACCAGGGGACAGGAAAGGGCCTGCATACAGTCAAGTCCCACTCTCTGCCTCTGTGGCACCAGCCTTCACAGCCATCCTCAGCACACCTTTCCCCCCCTCTGCCATGCCAATCAAATTTGACAGGACCCTCTACAATGGGCAAAATGCCTACAGCCCTGCTTCTGGCATGTTCACCGCTCCTTTATCTGGTGTCTACTACTTTGCATACCACATGCACGTAAAGGGAACAAGCCTGTGGGTGGCACTGTACAAGAACAATGTGCCAGCTACTTACACCTATGATGAATACAAGAAAGGCTACATGGACCAGGCGTCCGGTAGTGCTGTCCTAGAGCTGAAGGAGGGTGATCAGGTATGGGTCCAGATGCCCTCGGATCAGGCAAATGGCCTCTATTCTACCGAATACATTCACTCCTCCTTCTCAGGATTTCTGCTCTGTCCCACATAACCCTGTCCTTTCACTCATGTTCCTGTATTGGCACCTCAGAGCAGCCCTAAACCTGAAATACCTACAGCCATTAACAGAAACACAAAACCCATAGGATTCTCAATATTTTTGCCATCATCTTGATCTGTCTCACCCTCAGCAATATCAGCGAAAGAAAAAACAAAACTTTGTGAATGAAATATGGAAAGTTTTAAAAAGCAGGGGAAAGAATTTCATACTGTGTTCTTCGTTTCAATGTCCTTCAAATGTGTGTTTTTGGGTTGTAATTGATGATGGTGTTTTTTAGCTTATATTATTTTAATTATTATATTGTCATAATTTTATTGTTATTATTTGGTCCTTTGTCGTCATTGTTGTTGTTGATCGGATTCAGACTATTAAGTGCCTTACTTTGTAATGTGCTAGTAACAGACCTTCCCATGTGACTGCACATCCTGCCCACAAGCTCTGACATCACCAGGCCCTGGGGGGTGATTGGTTGGTCTGGCTGCAGTCACGTCCCCCTTGTGTTCCTATTTAAACCATTGAATGGCAATACTGACATAAAGAGCAATGACACAACATCGGAAATATAGACAGACGATAGCAAAACAAGGCATTTTGTGCTGAAATACGATTACTTTTCACGTTTCTTTTGTTTGGCCTTTATGGTACTCTAAACAATTGCTACGTTAAAATTATTAATGGGATTAAATCTTTGTTTTAAGAGTGAGATATATATTTTGACAATTAGTTGGCATCTGTAGGATGCTTATTTCTCTGCTTCTTTCTGAATTTGGTTGGCGACCATTTAAGATGACCTTTATCTTTTTTTTAATATAATTTATTGAACTGTCCAGAAATGCAATCCAAGAGTAACTATGACCTCACAGTATTAGACTTTATAAAATTGAACCTGCCCTGTTTAAGTGGATAATGCGCAAGATTTTTTTTTTTTTAACTTTCAGGATAAAATTAATTAAGGATGATATGTATGCATACAGTCAATGTTTACATGCCATAGAATAGATACTGAGAGCAACTGAAAAATGGACGGTAAGGACACAAATCCAGCAGGATTAATGGCCTGTTTCCTTGTATCGATCCCATTTTTCACAAATGCACTGCAAATCCCATCACGGTGTCGCAGGCATTCCCTTCAGACACTCTGAACATGACATCACCGCTTTCTAATGGTATACTACCTATTCCAAGTGAGCAATCTCTGCTGCCATACTCTAAAGGCCCCATTTCTGACCACATTTTGCTAAATCTGTGAAGAGGCTGCTTTTGGAGAAATAGGGATGCAAATGGTTGACAAACAAAGTACATCCACTTCTTCCTTCAATGGCAGTTTCTGTGCAACTTGTTGTTGCTGGGCAAACGAGAGCAATTCTGAATCGTTGGTGAATGAAATTGTTTTCTATTAATTCCCAAACCATTGTGTCTAAAATAGCAGAATTGTTGTTTCGCTTCATGGAACATCCGTGGTTACAAGGACAAGATGTCTCTCAGAGCCCGAATTATGTCAAAAATATACAGCCGGAAACGAGAATCAATCTGCATTCACTCCATGAATAAGTAAAGGGACTGACTGAGGCCCACAGGTTGTGAAATACAGGTTGTGTAACATTTAACAACCCCCTGCCAGATTTCTGGGAGAGGTGGGCCAGAGGTGAGAGTGGTGTATTTACTCATTTCTGTTGGATGAGGTATTAAGGATACATGCTCTGTGTGTGTATGCGTGTGCTCGTATGTTCTGGTAGGTGTACCCTTCTGTCTGTCACTATGTCAATATACGTGTGTGTGTGTGTGTGTGTGTGTGTGTGTGTGTGTGTGTGTGTGTGTGGGTGTAGTTCACATTGTCCCCCTGGCATTCAGGTCATGAACACTTCAGCGAGAATAATCACAAACTCGAATGAAGTTACAAAACCTTAGGAAGAGCATACAGTCCTGTTAATGTTCCACATGTATTCTGACTCCTAAATCTCTCGGCCTGCTTTGGGCTTTAAAGAAGAAATGCACACACTGCCTTTGCAAAGTAAGGGAACAAGTTCTAAATAAAATAGGTGAAGGTAACGAGTAGATTACGGGAGATGACATCAAAATAATGAGATAAGAAGACAGCATTTACTAAACGTAAATTACTGGTTGACACTGAAAGCTTTTGACTGTTTTGCATATTGGTCCAATGAATGGCATAATGGTGTGCAACATTTATTGTCACATACCAAGTCATGAACAGAAAAAAAACGACACTCTGGTGAAGTGTGCAAAATCTTTCATCACGGTTGCATTTACAGAAGTGAGGAGGTTTGAGCAAACTTGAGAAAAGTAGCTTAAATTACAGAGCGATTGCCGTGCCTTTACTCATGCCGCCCAAACGCTATCGTTACACTGAATTTAGGGACTACCTTACATCTTGATGGAGGAATGTCAATGTACAGTATAGGATTGGGCCAGATATTGAGCTGTTCAATCAGAATGAATGTAATACTGTTTGACTCACTTACAATAGTTTCTATAAATCATCCACCATGCTGTGTCACGATACATAAACAGTAGCTCTTCTGGAAAAGCAGTGCTTGGAAAAGGCCTAATCAGTATTTTAAGTCTATGTAATGCAAACAGTGCACTTGCTCTTGCCCTTTCCTTCTCATAACATGAAAACACATCCAACTGCTACGTATATCATTATTGTCATGTGAGTCTACAAGACTGTCCAAGGCTGGTTGTGTACTGTATGTTGCCTTTTTTTTGTCGCCTTCTATTTTTGGACATATGAAATGGTGATGTGAGTTACATGTGGCTATAACTCTCTGTCCTTGTGTTTTGCTTGCAGAGTTTGCCCTGTGTGTGCAAATCAGTCAACGAGTGTCAGTAAGATTCATGTACCGTCTCAATCACAAGTTGCTTTGAAGTGTTTTCTGCTTTTCTTTAAAAAAAACAACATTTTTTTATTTTTTAAAGCCTTGCTTCGGTTCTTAAGGGATATTTGTTTGTTTTAGTTTCAGTAAATACAAACGGCCATTCCCATTTGCACATGAAATTAATGAAGATGTATTTATACATTTATGATTTTAATAGGGATGCCAAAACCGACCACCGAAGCCTAGAACGTATACATGGTATTTAACAGCATTGATGAGTTAAGAGCATTTACGACATGTAGTTAGCATTCTAGAGTTGTTTGTGAAGGATTATTTGATGACTTTTGTTTTCTATTTGAGTAATGTACAATGTATCAACTTATAGGATTTTTTTTTGCCATACAAGGCTATTGCGTGCACTCTATGCAATAGAATTTGGGTATAAAATGCACTCTTTTTGATTGAAAATGTTTGTCTGCTTATACAAAATCTACAGTACTTGATTGTATTGATACCACATCAATAAAAACCTTCATGTATATTATTGTCAGGCCCCCTCTTTCTATCTACTGTATTTGCATTTGTACATATTGGTAGTTGTAGTGAGGGATTTTACTTAATGCTTTCTAGGTAAAGATAACTGCATGGCACATGTGGTGTAGAAATCTATTGTAGGTAAAGGAATGAACACTAGAGGGAGATATGCAATATAGTAAAAACAGCATTTCAGGCCACGCTTTTGACAGATCCTTGTTGATCTACTAGTAAACTCAGAGCTGCATTGATAGACTTTTGTTGGTCAGTTCAGATTACTTGGATGACAATTGTGTGTTAGTCAGTTACTTGGAATGCTCATTCATTGCAGACAAATGTTTAACACAAAAAGACCAATCTTTGTCATAATTTGCCCTGTGTGAATATGCCATCCTTAGAAAAACAAGCTCAAAATAGCAAATCATTTACTGGAACAGTGTCCAACCTCCAACTAAAATATTTTTAGTTATATACAGATATATATACACACAAATGATCAAATTCATGAAATTGAGGTTGCAAAACAAACCCTGAGCACAGCCATAATTGTGCGGTTATTTTCTGGAACTGTCGTCACTATAGTGAGCTCTCATCGTGCACCCGGATTCTTCTTACGTCGCACTGACGCCAGACCTTCATGCTGCATTCGTGTAGTACTAGTAAACTCGTTCATCTTTTTTTTTCCCGTATTTGCGATTACGACTAGACGTGCATACACGTCTTTAGTAAGAGATCGTTTCGTAACAGCTTTTGCTTTTATTTACCTAGTGTCATAATTAATAAATTAAGTGACACTGAGCTGACATTTTACTTCAGCAGGGAAGCAAAGAGAGAAGCAATATATTCAAATATATAGTCAAAAATTCATGGCAGCTGTCTTCCTTAGTTTGTTAGAATAGAAATGCATCGCTTGAGCTCACTGTCAGGCACCTCGCTGTGTGTGTGTTGTTTTTCCCAAAATTACAAAGCACGTGTGTGCCGTAGAAAGTGACAGATTTCCCGAGTGTTTCCCACCGTGTTGACTTGCCGCTACCTTGGACAGCCTCGTTTCACATATTTCCGACAGTCCCTGAATGTGTGGACACACTGAGAAGGCTCCTCCCTCAACAACAGTTCCCGACCTCCGACGAGAATTCAAGCTGCCACATTGAAGTGGAACAAAAAGGCAACCTGGCAGCGGTCTTCTACACTCCCTCCACTTTCTCCGGGGTAGTCACGGGATTCCAATGTTCAGCCTGCTCTTTGTAAGTACCTAATAACTTAAACTAACTCATTTGGATGTGTGTCTCTGATATGATCGCACACGACTGCAATAACACAGCTCCGCAAAAAAAAAGCCTGATTTAAAAGTTACATATTGTAAAAATGATCAGCACAACACAAGGGAGGTAAAGTGAGTTTGTCTGAGTAGACGGACCAGTATGTAGCCTCGATAACGTTAGCAGAGCAAATAGCTAACGTTAGATTATTGGCCACGCAACGTTAACGCCACACTATTCAATGTGTTAACATGTAATAATACAAACCCTCAACTTAGTCAACTCTAACTTTAATATAGCGAGTCTTGGCATATCTCTGGACTGGTTGCTAAATGGTGAAAAGCAAAGTGACGGAGCTGAGCTAGCCTGCTAGCTAATGTAGCTCCGTTAGCATGCTATGTGGGCTAAGGCTATTTCCTAGAATAATAGTAACAATCATCTCGTTACGACTTGAAACATCAGCACGGGGTTCACTGGAGTTCATTTTTATTTGGTAACACGGCACATTGTGTGTTGTTAAACGCCATGCTGTTGTCCAAACGGACCGTCGTCTGCAAATTTGATAAAAAAAAAAACAAGGGCTAATGTAATGCTATACAACGAAGTCTTGGCGTGTCAGTGAAGGTAGCCTCTCTCTTGGACAACATGTAGCTTAACGTGAACAGTTCTTTGGTTATTTTTGGCGTTCATGGCAGCGACACCATTCACATATTTATAACCAGTGACTGATTTCCAGTATTTTCAGCTTCTTTACCGGTGGACTCGACAGACGTCGGTGACGTTAGTTGAGAGGAGCTCGGCTAGGGGTATATAGATGGCGACTAAAGCTAACTGCCTTCCGCCCTTTGTGACAGATCTTGACCCAGAGAGCATGCTGGACCCATTTATTTTGAAGCCACATGCCAAGCTAACATCTTAATAAACCAAACAAGTTGGTCGACAAAAAACCCCCGATATGTCCTGTCTGCTGTTATGGTATCGTGGGTGACAGTTTGTGTCGTCTCTCTCTTTAATTGTTAATTAGCCGGTTTGTCTCAGTAAATGTGTCAGCCTTTCATGCTACAAATGTAGCTAGCACTGAAGTTACGTGTGTCTATGATTTTAGCCTTTGTCTGTTTTTCTTAAAAACAGAAAGCACCCAACCATTTAGCCGTGTTGGTAGACGTGAAATGAGGAAATGCACTATGGGGAGGAAGTTGACTCGAGCAGCTGTGACACTAAAGGCCGCAGCACATTCCCATGCCTCTCAGTTTTCAATTTATGACCTTCCTATGGTTTCAGTCTCCTCTCTGTAATAAATGCCAGTGGGTAGCGAATACAAATGAATAAGCTCTGAACATTCCTACCGACATGGGTGTATGAGTCAATGAGTAACAGGTAAGCTAATTACATTTCTGCTCATGAGTCACTGCAAGGTGATCCAATTTGCCTACAGCGAGGATATGAGATGTTTAGTGCAATCAAAACAGACTCGAGGGCAATGTACAGTAGAAGAAGCAAGATATTCCTGTTATAATTCTTATATTTATATGCAAATCACATGATTGTTCCACTTTATGTAATGCAAGCAACAAAGAAATAGACACGGATTCCATATATCTTACACAATAGTGAGTCTTTATGCTCTTTTCACATTTTATTGTGGAAGTAGGACACTCGTACTGGTGACCTGCTTTATGTTATAGCTAATTGACAGCCCGATGTGGAAATAGCATAGCTCCTCTCAGTCCACTTACAGCACAGCCTGCAGCTAAACACAGGCCGTATACAGTAGGAAGCCCTCATCCCTGAGACACCGCACTTCGACTCGCATTACCTTATTTTTGTGTTTTTAAACTATGAACTTCAAGGTTAATCTTAGCCTTCATTTTTGCTGCACCGTTGTTGGACTCGGGACGAAACACTTATCCATTTTGCATTGCCTCCTTTTGCATACAAAACATTTGGTATAAGATTGGGAGTGTGTCGTAGTACGCCTATAACTAGCTGCATGACATTTTACACCAACAGATGGGTGATTCCTCTGTCTATAGATGGCATTTTTTAAAAAAAAAAAAGGAAGGGCAATGTGACAAGTGGGGAAGTTCTCAACCTTGGTTACCGTAACAGAGAAAGGCGAGCCCAGTTTACAGTAACGTGACACCAACTTACTGAGGAGGTTACTGGGGGAGAAGAACACCTATGTTGTAGCCTGCTGGCAGCCGGCCCATCGAGCCACAGGGTGGCTGCGAGTGTTGAAAGGTAGGGTTGAAGAGGTCTGTTCCACAGTGACTGGCTTAACAGATTTGGCCAATTTTAAAATCTAGCTATGCCCCATGGCGTCTGTGCTGTGGGGAGAAAGAAACGCAGGCTTTTGGTTTTTAACTATGTGTTAGCTTGCTAAGATCTCTGGCTCCTGGAGCAGTTTTGTTGTGTTGAAATCAGGTGAAAGTGGAAAGCTCGGATTATATACACACTTTTTTGCTCTTAAGTGAAAAGCCATATATAATTATGCACTGGTAGCCATGGGCACCTTGTGTTGGTTAATGGATCGTGCCCTGGTCGGCACAGCGTTCGTTTACAGTTGTTGCCACAGCACTGGGATAAAGCAAAGACTCTGTAGTACTGGCAGTATCTGACAGGTTGACAACTCTTCTAGATGCTGCTGCAAGGCTGCCCACTGACATGATGGCAACAGGTAGGAATAGGATCCTCCTTTTGTTAATTGTGTTTACAGTTACCTCGTCGAGCTGCAGTTAGCAGGTCGAAAAACACGGTCCTTTGCCAAAACATGCCACGGTAAAGTGTTGTTATTAGAGCTGTTGTTCGTAGGCGCGTGTAGCTGCTCACCTTCACTGATCCAGAAAATGTTTTAGTTTTGAAGCAACTATAGTCTAGAACATGCCGTGTTATTGCACATAGACCAGCTTGCTGTGTTTTGCTATTGCCTAGGCACTGTTTAGCTTCTCACAGCAGTGTGGCTATTTCTCCTTAAGCAGCTTATTAAACACATGAAATGTGCGACTACCTCTCAAAACATGACCTCCAAACTAATTCATTGAGGCCGTAATCTGAAAAAAAGATGGATTTTGTACTTTTTGAGCTGATTCAAGATCACAGGGAGGGCCTATATCTTTGATATCTTTGGTGAGGAAGTTGGATTTCTGAGTTTATAGTTTATATGAGCAGCCATAACTCTGCTCTGACCCTCTTCAGCGTTGCAGATTGCACACTACATTTTCAGCTTTAGCTCTGCAAATGATTTAAAAGTGCGCCATTGCTCTTCTCTGATCTATTCACGAGGGAAACCAAAACTCCCAACAGGAGCACTTGTTGCTAAAGCTGAGATAATTGTTGGTATAGCAACAGGCATCCCCTGATGCTGCTGTCAGAAAGCCAACTTAGTTTCCAAATGTCAGAAGACTTGATGTCACAGTGGGACTCTGCAGACATTCTCCTGTCTGTTGCCGAGTGTCGGCCTGAAACCTATTTCTATTTAACATTAGACTGACTGTGATTTCAGTCAGTGATTGTGACCTACGTTGACTCGGGTAGATCTCGGTACTAGTACTCTTATCGATACTGCTTATCAGTGCGGTACTTGGGTCTTAGCAGTCACGACGTGTCCTTCCCCGATTCGTCGTGCCGCCAAAAGAAAACGGACAGTAGCCGTGATTATCGATTAATTCAACATGGATGACGATTACAAGAGTTGCTGACCGTGTTGTCTGTACTAGCAGCTGTTGTGCAGTTAAATTCTGCATTTTATAATTCTACTGCTGCCGACATTTGAGCGAGCGGCGTGTCCAGCGGCATTATCAGAAGTAACGGTTTGTGGCTTTGAGGGCGATGGACTCAAAAAGGAGGAATTTCCTTTTCTTATCGATGTTTTTTTTTGTTCTGCACAACTGTTGTGACGTTCACAGAAACTGTAAAAGAACAAAAGCATAAATGCTCTGTTGTGACTTCCAGCCTCCGGCAGAGCTACGAGTGTACAGACAACAACAAAACCGAGGGGAACGAGTGAGAAATGTGTGTTGACCAAATACCTTGACCCATAATCTAGTAAAACTTTAATTTGTAAGTGTTCATTATAAAGGAAATTTGTGAGAGAGACTTGTAACTAAGTTTGAAAAATAAAACTTTGTTTTTTGGCCGTTTGAGCATATAGAGGAAGATTATAGAGGAAGTATGAAGTGCGACCTTTTATTTTTAAAGGGTACAATAATACTCGGCAACCAATCTACTTCCTGTTTGTACCGTATGTAAAGTATGGATGGAAATCATGTCCAAAAGGGTGCTGGAACGCCCGTGTGGATGTAGATCACTTTCGTTTTAATGGCTGTAGCCTCAGTATTGCTATCCGTGCCTCGATGTGTTGGCAGAGAGGTAGAGGTGTGGCTCACTGCTGTGACGAGTGTGTCCGTCGAGGCTGGGAGATGTCATCCTGCAGCCGATTTGAGGATTGTGACATGAGATTATGACTTATCAAAGGAGCTCAGAGATGGCTGAATATAGTCCCTCGACCCATATTCCAGATGCAAATTTATATAGAATATGAAAAACTTCTATCTGGGGAGGATGCAGCTGTGTTTTCAAAAACAAGTGATACCAATGAATAGACAGATATGTTGGTAGCAAATTAAAACACATTGGTAAGAGTATAGCTGGTCATTTCAAACACTTGTAGGCTGGTGAAATGTTACTTTGAACTTTATTGCCACATCATATCCGTTTCAAGAGTCCTTTAGTGAGCCATTAAAACATTGGAAATGTTCAATCGACTGAGGCTCAAACGGGTTAATGTTTCAATCGCTTTGGCTCTCGGGATGTCCAATATAGTTTATTATTTAATATGTAATCTTTATTGTACCAAAGTGTTTCCTACTAGATGTATTCTGTAGGCATAGCATGAAATCGATGACTCCCCCCCCCCCCCCCTCCTATTGCCGCTGCAAATCTGTTTTTTTTTTTTTTTTTTGGTCCACCACCTTTTTGTCTCTTTA